CCGGGGCTCACGCCCCGGTGCGCAGCTGCGCCGTTGGTCCGCCGGCCCCCCTCCGGCACATCCCAGACCACCCTACCCTGGGCGGTGGGCACCTGCAGGTCACCCCCCCGTGGGTTAAGCAGAATGAGAGTGGGCATCCGGACTCTGATAGGCCAGACTCTGAGGCCCCATCCCTTTACAGAGGATGGCTGACCCTCCACGAAGGGGCAAGAAGGTCTTGTTTATTATTATTTCTTTCTTTATTATTTATTATTAATTAATTTATTTATTATTATTTCTGGGAAAAGATGGGCAGCCCTGGCAGCTCCCGCGTAGTTGTGGCTATACCCTGGGGGTGCCGAAGAGTGGTGTGAAGGCTCGAGGACGAAAACGGGTGCTGAGGGGGGACAAGCTGGGGAGAGGAGCGCGCGACATGCCCAGCCATAGATGAGGACTGCATTTCATGGCTACCAGTTTTTTGGGGTTTTTTTAAGAATTATTTTATTTAACTTTATTTATTATTATTTTCCAGTTTTATCAGACAGAGAGGGAAAGTGAGAGAGCAAGCTGCCAAGGTCCTTGCCTGCTGTGATTCTTACCTTAAAGGTAAGTGCAGTCTCAGGGCCGGCAGGGCCGGCAGGGCCGGCAGATGGCGTGGTTAAGGGTGCTTGACTCCCAGGTGATTGAAAACAGTTCTAGTCCTGGACCTGGCAGCTTGTTTTCTCACTTTCTCTTTCTGGCCCGCTCTAGTCAAATGAAAATAAATAAATTAAATAAATTAAGTAAAATGATTCTTTTTTAAAAAGAGAGAGAAGTGAAGTCCGATGAGTGGTGAATCTGATAAATCGTGACTCCTGGGTGATTCGCATGCACTGTGGCTTATCACATCCCTTGAAAACCCATCCACAGACAGTCCACACCTGCTGTCACACAGGGCTGATCTGGGACATCTGCCTTTATGTGCATTTAATACCTGCTATCGGGACCAGCAGTTGGTGTAATGGCTATGTCGCTGGACTCCCACGTAGTTGACCGCGGTTCGCATCCCGGACCCGGTGGCTTAAACTCACGCCGGCCGCGTGTGCGTGCGTGCCCAAGATCCCAAGAGGAGAATGGAGAAGAAGGGATTGCAGTGTGGCCATCCCCCCTTGGGGGGTGATTTCTCGCTTTCTGTCTGTCTCTGTCTTTCTGGCGAGGGCACACACCCTATAGCAAAAATCTCTCCAAAAAAAGAAAATATATATACATACCTGCTATTAAATAAAGGTCTGTTACTAGGTGACAAAGCGACACTGCAGTAAAGCCTGCTTTGTAATCTGAGGTCAGTGTTCTAAGGCACCAGCCTTGAGCCAAGCACTGATATTCTTGTTACCTTAATTAGGATGCGGGAGATTGAGATTTTTAACTTCTCTTTCCTACCTTTACCTGGTCTTTACCTCCATGCTTCAAGTGGTGCTGGCGTGGGCTGTCAGAATGTCCCTTGTCCGGATTCCCTTTGTTTAGATGGGACTCTGATATTTTCTACCGGCCTCGCTGGGGTCAGTGTGGTTCAGTTTGCTGTTTGAAGTCCAAAGAAGATAACCAGGCTGCGCACACTTCAGATCTGCTGAGTCAGCAGGACTGCGCGGTTGTAAAAAGGGGCGGGAAGATGAGGCAGAGCCTGCAGCCCGCCCTAAATTTTCCACGCCCATAGGATGGCCTGGGTGCAGACCTCCTTAACTACTTTGCAGCTTCCCAGAGGGTTGGGACACAGAGTCCCTGTGGCTAGGTGAAAGCATTGGGATCATTCTGCCCAAGAAAGGGGAAATTGGACATTTATATCCCAGAGGGAAGCGACACCATTCCCCTCGGCCTCTCTGTGCTGAAGCCAGCCAGGTAAGGACAGTTTGTCGAGTTCACTGGGGAGGCTGATCTCTTTGCTGTTCGTTGTGCTTGCGGCTCCCTCGACATCATGTGGAATGTGTCTGACTGGTTCCAGTGCAGAGGCTGCTTGACAAACGTGGGTGCAGTGCTTGCTGTGCCAGGCATTGTGTGGGGCAAAGGGGGTCCAGGCAGTGCCCAGGACACAGTCCCTGCCTTCTCGAGCTACCTGCCTGCTGGGCGAACTGCAGCATCTGCTCCCGCCGCACTCCTCTCCAGCTCTGGCTCGCCTTGTTTTAGTTGTGGGAGTGCTGGTTCCAGCCATGCATCTGATAGGCCGGCAAGTACACAGGGCCAGGCACTGTTGGGGCTTGGGCTCAAAAGATG